AGGTTTCTGACTTTCAGGAGGATATCAACCCTATGGAAGATTAGAATCTTAGACATAGACTTATTTTTAGTCGAAATAAGACAATTGGGGCCGAATTCCACCTAGTGGCCGAACCCCCCCTTGTTTTTTGTTGATTTTTGAACAATTTTTCCTTTATGCTTGGATTATTTGTTGGTGGTTTGTTTTTCGGATATTAAACTTTAATTAAATACTATCCTTGAATAAATGAAATTATTTTGAATTGACATTTGTTTTTCAAAACTTTTATGCATATGACCGATTCAAAATTAATTTTTCATTCTAGGTATGACTAGTGGGAAAGTTAGTTGTCTGGCAGATAGTGCAACTACGCACACCATTTTGTGTAAACACATCTATTTCACTAACTTCATACCTAAGAATGCACCTCTGACAACACTCTTAGGCCCATCCAACCTGATAGAAGGATACGGTAAGGCGCGTATAATGTTGTCCAATAGTACAATCTTGACCATTTCTGAGGCACTCTATTATCCACATTCCTGAATAACATTGTTGAGTTTCAAGGACATTAGAGATAACAATTACCACACTGAAACCGACATAGAAAACGGAGTTGAATTTATATGTATGACTTTCTACGAATATGGCCAGAAGCGTATTCTAGAGAAGATGAAGAGTATCCTGAGTGGTCTGTATACTACGACTATACGCCCCATAGAATGCCACTTTGTGGCCGGCCCTACTATTGGGACTATGCATGAAATTACACTTTGGCATGATCGTTTGGGACATCCTAGTTGAATAGTAATGCGCCGTATCCTCAAATCTTCACACAGGCATCCACTAACCCGAAGTTTAGGTTTGATCGAAGGAATCGCATGTCAAACATGTTCCATGGGAAAGCTTATTACTAAGCCTTCTTATAACAAGATTCATTTGAATCCTCCCATTTTTCTACGACAAATTCAAGGGGACATTTGTGGATCGATTCACCTTCCCTGCGGACCATTTAGATACTTTATGGTTGTGGTTGACGCTTCCACATATTGGTCACACGTGTGTTTGTTGTCCACAAGGAACACTGCATTCTCTAAACTGTTGGCTCAGATTATCAAGCTCAGGGCTCACCACCTTGATTATTCGATCAAATCTATTCAATTGGATAATGTTGGAGAATTCGCATCTAACACTTTTGATGACTATTGCATGTCGATTGGGGTTGAAGTTGAACATTTTGTGCCTTATGTTCACACCCAGAATAGCCTGGCAGAGGCTTTTATTGAGCGCTTACGAATGATTACTCGATCGTTGGTCATACGTACCAAGCTCCCGATCGCTGCTTGGGGCTATGCAATATTGCACACAGCAAAGTTGGTCCGCTTGAGGCCTGTTACGACACAACCATTTAGTGCCCTTCAGATAGTTACCAGATACGAACCTGACATATCACATCTGCACGTATTTGGTTATGCGGTATATGTGCCGATCTCGCCGCCCGCACGTACAAAAATGGGGCCTCAGTGAATGATGGGAATCTATGTCGAATATGATTCTCCTTCGATTATTCGTTACTTAGAACCTTTGACAGGCGATCTGTTTATCGCTCGTTTCTCGGATTGTCACTTCTATGAGACAATATTCCCGTCATTAGGGGGAGATAAGAACGACGCGAATTATCATGGACGACTCCCACTTTGTCTCATTTAGATCCCTGTATCGCTCAGTTTGAAACTGAAGTGCAGCGCATATTAGATCTTCAGAGCATAACTCAGAGCATGCTAGATGTTTTCACCGATCTAGCCCGCATGACAAGATCACACATTCCAGCTGCGAATACGCCTATAAAGATAGATGCACCAAATGTACGACGGACTACCTTCCTGAAAGCCCGGGACACCAATCTTAGTGATTCACGTACATTAGCGGCTAGCCAATCATCTGCCTCTACACAAAAACGTGGCAGACCCCTTAGTTCAAAGGATTCACGCCCCCGGAAAAGGAAACCCACAGCACAAGGTCTTGAATAACCTACCGTGAATCCGACTATCACTTACTCATTCTACGCAACTCATAAGGAAATTCTAGATTATGGAGTGTCCTTGAAGAGACGAATGATCCTCTCGAGAATCGAGAGATTTCGGTCTATTATGCTAGCTTAGATGATGTGTGGCGTAGAAATGAGATGATTGTCAATGATGCATTAGCATATGCAGTAGCTACTGAGTTCATGTTGAGTGATGACATTGAACCGCGTTCCGTTGATGAATGTTGACGTAGAATTGATTGGTCAAACTGGAAATAAGCAATCCAAGTCGAACTCGATGCGCTTGCGAAACGTAAAGTGTTTAGACCTGTAACTCCTACTCCTCCACATTTGAAGCTCGTTGGCTATAAGTGGGTTTTTGTTCAGAAACGTAATGAGAAGAACGAAATTGTGAGTTACAAAGCTCCTCTTGTTGCACAAGGCTTCTCATAACGCCCCGGGATTGATTATGACGAAACTTATTCACCTTTTATGGATATGATTACTTTTCGCTACCTTATTAGTTTGGTAGTTTCTGAAAAACTGGATATGCAGTTGATGGATGTATTAACCGCGTATCTCTATGAGGATCTTGATACAAAAATCTATATGAAAGTTCCTGAAGGACTTACATTGACTGGTTCAAATATTTCCAAACCCTAGAACACGCTCTCAATTCGGCTGAGGCGTTCACTCTACGGTTTGAAACAATCCGGAATAATGTGGTATAACCGTCTGAGTGAGTATTGGACTAATCAGGGATATGTGAACAACGAACTATGCCCTATTGTGTTCATTAAGAAGTCACATTCCAGATTTATGATTGTTGCAATATATGTCGATGACATGAACCTCATCAGAACTCCTAAAGAGCTTGCAAGAACTACCGCACACCTGAAGTCGGAATTTGAGATGAAAGATCTAGGTAAGACTCGATACTATCTCGATCTTGAGATAGAGCATTGTTCGAATGGAATCCTAGTACATTAATCGAACTACGCCCAAAAGGTGTTACGCCGTTTTAATGAGAATAAAGCGAAACCTTCGAGTACTCTTATGGTTGTTCGATCGCTAGATGCAAAATAAGATCCCTTCCATCCGAAGAAGGATGATGAAGGGATTTTGGAGCCTGAAGTTCCTTATTTAAGTGCGATAGGCGCTTTATTGTACTTAGCTTAATGCACTAGACCCAACATCTCCTTCGCTGTTAATCTTTTGGCAAGATACAGTAATGCACCAACACACAGACACTAGACTGGCGTGAAATACATCTTCTGTTACCTTAATGGTACTACGGATTTGGGCTTGTTCTATCCCTACGGATCCTCAAGTGATGCCGTACCCTATGCTCTTTAAGTTAATTCTCGCCTTGTTGGTTATGCCAACGCAGGATACTTGTCTAATCCGCACAAGCGGCGTTCTCAAACGGGTTATGTCTTTACCGTTTGAGGCACCGCAATCTCTTGGAGGTCTTTACCTTAGTTGCCATTTCGTCTAACCATGCTAAAATTCTCGCCTTACATAAAACAACTCAGGAATACTTTTGGTTGAGAGTTGTAATGGGTCATATTCAAAGCTCCTGCGATCTTTATCATGTCGTTGATGTCCCGACAACGATCTTTGAAGACAACGCAACATGCATCGAACAGCTTAAGAAGGGTTATATCAAAAGAGACAACACCAAGCACATTGCGCCAAAGTTTTTCTTTTCACATCAACAACAAGAGCATCAGAAGATTGAAGTCATGCAAATCCGTTCACAAGGCAATTTGGCCGACCTCTTCACCAAATCATTACCGAAGACGACATTTCAGAAGCTTGTTCATGGAATTGGTATGCGTAAACTTTCTAAGTTGTAACTTTGCTATTTCTCTTTGGAATTATGTCAAACTCAGGGGGAGTATCCTGTAGATACTTACTTGATCTTAATGTACTCTTTTTCCCTACGATTATGAGCATTTTTCCCACTAGGTTTTAACTACCTAACTAGGTTTTAAGGAGGCACCCACCTTAGGCTAGTCATATCCCTCATCACATCCCGTGGATGTTTCTTTTGACTTTGCATTTCTCACACATTGTTCCTTAAACTATGGATTTTGTCCCTCCTGTGGTTTTTGCCATAGCCTTAGGGTTTTTTAGTGAGACATACTACTTAGGCAAGTTCCTACCTTATTGAGAATAAGCGTTGTTCCTTAGAATCAGTGCCGACAAGTCGACTTCCTCAACTTCTGCATGATGTTAAATCTATCTTGAGTATTTACACACTCAAGGGTGAGTGTTGTAAATATTCATAGTTTAAGTGTGATTGTGTAAATACTAAATTAGATTTGATTCTAATTATCATTTCCTATTGTATCTTGTATTCCTTGGGGAAGAAGGAATATCTTCTCTCCTTTTACTACTATAAATAAAGGCATAATGTAGGAGGGATAACAACACACATTCCCCTACAATTCTACAAACACATCTCTCTCACTCTCTTCTCCTTATCGCCGGCCCCTCTTTAACATTGTTAGATAAAATAAACCACAACATATTTAATATACAATATAGACATATGCATTATGCTATTGTATTTTATAACAAGTTTTTTTAGTAGTTTAAAAAATTAGAATCATGAAAATAACGTTTTTCTTAACATGTCGAAACGGGTCACTCGTGTGTCACCCTCATGTAAACCTGTTAAGGACCCATTGTTAATAGGTTCTTATTGTGTGACCCGATAACGTCCTGATTAGTTATCGTGTTGATCTGAAACCTATTATTTTCGTGTCACTTACGTGTTGTATTAACAAGCCGTATAAGAAATTGTCAGACCTAATCTTAAGGGAACAAATTGTAAACTTACTATGTTTAGCAAACACTCCTCTTTATTTATTTCTCTTATTTAACCTTCTAGACTCTACATTGTTGAGCTATTGACACGTATGGTTACTCCTTTGACCCATGACACGTGTACAGCGGATAATATATCAGAGCTAAAAGGAAGCCGCAATTGCTTACTCAAGCAACCAAACAGACCCAATAGTTTCTAAATCGATCGCTGGCGTTGCACTTCCTCTTCTTCCTCGATGCTTTTCTTCCTCTCTGATTTCAACGATGAAGGCCACCGAGAATAAAGCAGCTGGGATACTGCACCACATCCTCCCTCCGCGTCTCGAAGACGCCGGCCTCGAAGACTGCGCCCTCCCGTTAGACTCCATCAAGGAAGCCTTCCTCAAAGCAGCAACGGCCGTCAAGTCGCCCGCCACCTCGATCTTTACCTCCGACGAAGACGAAGAATCGTTCGAAGATTGCGTCAATGACACCTGGCCGGACATGAGGGATCACACCGGCGAGCTGGTCGGAGCCGAGCCGGAGACTCGGTCGGCGGGATCGTGCGGCGGAGACAAGGGCGGGTCGGTGGAGGTCGGCGGAGATGAAGTGATGGTCGGCGGCGAGAAGGAGAAAGGGGATAAGGTGATCGTGGGAGGTGAGGACGTGAGAGGTGGTGGGGAGAGGGATTGTGTGGATGGATTGGCGGGATTAGAGATCGGAGAGAAGAAGAAGGGTGAGGAGGAGGAAGAGACAGATGGCGGAGGACCAATTTTGGTAGGAGGTTATGTTTGAATTTGAAATCCTAATTTTGATCTTTTGGGAATTTGTTTAACTTGGTGTTTGTTGTCTACTGTATAGTGTTGTGAACTCTGACATTTGACAATATTTGCATTGAACATTTTGCAAATTTGACTTTGGATTTGTCTAAATTGATAGATTTTGATTGGAATCACTTTGTTAATCCTAGATTAAGGGATTAGTGGTTGTGATAAAAATGTCTAGTTTGTGATATGTGAGTTGCAATCTTGATTGACATTTGCCCCTGTGACTAAATTCGAGTTCGACATTGCTATCTGAAACTGAAAATTCGTCACTTTACCCCGTCTCTTTGCCTTGTTTGTGTCTATTATGTTCGATATCTGGTAAAGACTGGGGGTAAGGGGAAGGAGGTAATCTAAAGCTTGAACAAGTTTGGTTGCTTGGCTTGATCTACCTACTATGGTCACCCATACCTAAATTAATTATCAAGAATGTGGTGTAGAAGGGGATGGGAATGAGAATGTAATGGAATTATAGTATTTGGTTGGAGCTTAGTATGGTCAGCTTGAGAGGAGAAACTTGCATGCAATGGGGATGCGTCCTTGTGTTGGTATAGTGCTCCTACAACTAGCGATGAAATATCTTCATATTACGTCGCGTAATGAGTGCTATAGAAATATAAACGTATCTCAGGGCACAAGAGAGGGTCGATACTTGTTGGTGAGTAGGTTTCCATGGTAATGGTACATTACAATTTGCTTCCCTCTTGCAAGTTAGAAGTTAAAACTGAATCTGAGGTGCCCCTTCCTCACGTCATCAACTTAGCATAATCACATGGACAGTGTAGCCAATAAAACCACCAGTGAGATTTCCTGTTCAGAAACCCTCTTTCGGGGAGAAACTTTCTTGCAATCAAGAAAATAGACTCAAGCGCGTCACTTGTCTAATAAATGTTTGTCATTTGTCACACGAGTTAGTTTAATGAAACACTTCCTGTTTCCTACAATTTAAAAGGCTAAGGCATCCTGCACTTGACCTTGTTTATGACATCTAGTGACGATCTGCAGGCACACCAGCTTGTTATTTTTTGTGGCGGTGGCATCTCATAAATTCCCCTTAGTGTCTTAGTGATAAGTTGTATGTGATCCTTAAACTATATATGATACATCGACCCCTTCGCGTTGCGCATCAAGTTTGTTTTCCTTCTTCTTGCCTCGCTAGTTGATTATATATCGTTCTGCAGGTGTCAATTGCCACTGCCACATTTGCCATGACATTTTCCGCATCAATGTCCGTTGTCGAGTATTAGACCTGGCACTTGTGTCGTGTTTTTTTTGTTAGTGTTATTTTCGTGACATATGCGATATTTTAACAGGTCGTGTCCTATAACACCATTTAAATGACGGGTATTATAACCATACTCGAACTCGACCCGATATGACCTGACGCGTTACCCGGAGAGAAAAACTATATTAAATCAATAAATAACCAAATGAAAAACGTAATACTAAAACGTAAGTGAGATCAAAGAATCCAACGGTAAGGATTTAGTTAACGTGTAACCCGATCACTACCCGATTAGTTAACATGTTAACCCGAAATTCGTTTAAGAATGGCCAGGTCTATCGAGTACTACCATCCTTAAACGTTTTCCAGTTCCCTGCGGTAACTCCCTAGCCTTGCCATCAAGTTTCTGTTAAATAAAATGTTGAATGGTAGGAAGCCTTTTGGTCATTGCCAATTTCCATTGCAGCTCTGCATTTTGTTCTTGGGGCCAGCTTGTCTGTCTGCCCTGGTAGGCCAGAGACCATCTATAATTGTCTTCCTTCTAGCCACCACAATCTTTGCACTAGCTATGCATGTCTACCATAAAATACGTACCCAATCGGACCTTTACTTTTCATATTCGAATTCAGTTTCTTTTTATTTTCGGCTTCAAGGATTGGTGGATGATTGATTTGTTTTTGAAACAGGTGGGGTTGGGATAGCAAGTATGGTTGACAAGATTGAGAACAAAGAGAGATACCTAGTTTCAGTAACTTGTTCTACCTCCAGTTCCCCTGTCAAATTTTACTGCCATATACTCATCTCCAAGTTTTACACCAACAAATGTAAAACTTTTTTGTTGGAATGTTTTTAGATGTTGGGTGCTTCCACCAACTTTTTGGACCTACTAATTATGTTGGCGTTTTTTCTTGACTGTCCGTTTGGGTCTGAAATAATAGTTTAGGCCGAGAATAGGCTAAACCGAGTTGAAAAGCTGTAATCTTTGACCCAATAATCATCCATTAGGCCAATGGGCTTTTAGCTCACGAAAGGACTTGTTCGACCGAGTCCCCATGGAAGTAGGAATGTGAAAGGATAAAGTTCAAACGTGGCGTTATCCTTCTTCATTGTACCGACAGCTCTCTTGCACGCTCATGTGTTGAGCTCTCCTCTCCATACATACCCCTTGTAATCTTAATTAGTTAGTTATCATGAAGTTGTTGAGTTCATGATCGGACTTCTATAGTTTTCGTTTTCGTATCTAGAATTTTGTCGATACTTTTTACTCTATTAAAAAAAAATTTGCTTAGGTTTGGTCACCTAACTCCACAACAACAACAACAACAAAGCCTTTTCCCACTAAGTGGGGTCGGCTATATGAATCCTAGAACGCCATTGCGCTCGGTTTTGTGTCATGTCCTCCGTTAGATCCAAGTACTCTAAGTCTTTTCTTAGAGTCTCTTCCAAAGTTTTCCTAGGTCTTCCTCTACCCCTTCGGCCCTGAACCTCTGTCCCGTAGTCACATCTTCGAACCGGAGCGTCATTCGGCCTTCTTTGCACATGTCCAAATCACCGGAGCCGATTTTCTCTCATCTTTCCTACAATTTCGGCTACTCCTACTTTACCTCGGATATCCTCATTCCCAATCTTATCCTTTCTCGTGTGCCCACACATCCCACGAAGCATCCTCATCTCCGCTACACCCATTTTGTGTACGTGTTGATGCTTCACCGCCCAACATTCTGTGTCATACAACATCGATGGCCTTATTGCCGTCCTATAAAATTTTCCCTTGAGCTTCAGTGGCCTATGACGGTCACACAACACGCCGGATGCATTCTTACACTTCATCCATCCAGCTCGTATTCTATGGTTGAGATCTCCATCTAATTCTCCGTTCTCTTGCAAGATAGATCCTAGGTAGCGAAAACGGTCGCTTTTTGTGATCTTCGCTAGATTGCTCCGGTCATTAGTGTGGATAAGTATATAAATGGATAGAGATAGGAAAGCAAACACAAGATGTACGTGGTTCACCCAGATTGGCTACGTCCACGGAATAGAAGAGTTCTCATTAATTGTGAAGGGTTTACACAAGTACATAGGTTCAAGCTCTCCTTTAGTGAGTACAAGTGAATGATTTAGTACAAATGACATTAGGAAATATTGTGGGAGAATGATCTCGTAATCACGAAACTTCTAAGTATCGGAGTGTGGTGTCGTCTTGACTTGCCTTATCTGTCTCATAGGTAGATGTGGCATCTTCTCTAGAAGTACTCTTCCTCCATCCAGGGGTGGTATCTTTAACTGGTGGAGATGCACAAGGTAATGTATCAATTTCACTTGAAGCTTACTTGTAGTTTCAGGCTTGGTCAAGCGCGATACAAACCATGTAGTAAGAGTCCCCCAAGTCGCCGAGCTAGGGGGTCTGCTGAAAAAGGTGACAGACAAGGTAAGCAATCAGAGCTCCGACTGATTGTTCACCTTCTCCCCATCTTGCAGCAGCATGAAGGATAAAGAGAAGAAAAATGAGAAGAGATGATATGAGATACTTTTGCTTTTGAAGAAGTAACTTTCCACAGGCTTATTCTTGAACTGAGCTGGAGGGTTTTCTGGTTTCCTCCAGAGTATAAGGCCGACTGAAGAATTTGAGGGTCAAAACAAGTCCATCAAATCTAGAGTACGTTCCACCCTGCTGATATGGGATACTTTTGCTTTTGACAGAGTAATGGATGTATCGGCACGTGTGCTGTTACGCTTGTCTCCACATGCTTCCTTGTATCCTTCGCACTTGCCCTATCTGTTCCTCAAGCAGATGCGGAATCTTCCCTGGAAACATAAGATGTTGAAGATGAGTACTCGAGAGCAATGCCAGGTAAGTAATCAGGTAAGGGGTTCCAGGCAGTCAGTTCCTGGCTGGAAGCTTGATTCCAAGTGCTGACTGATTGCTCTCTTTCTCCTTGTCTTGCAGGTAAAAACAAGGCCAAAGGAAAAGACAGGGAAAAAGCATGATATGGGATACTCTTGCTTTTAACCCTGATGATATGAGATATTCTTGCTCTAGTATAGCTTGTTTGCAGAGGTATTATCGGGGGGAAAGAAAGCTGAATATTTCGAAAGGCTTCGTTGGGAGTGCCCTCTCAGATATGATGAAGGGTTGAGCATTTTTGCAGGTCTGCCTGTCTGTTGGGGATGGAGGTCGACATATATAGGAGTCTCCCTAACAAGTAGTAATGCTATTCCTTTACCCTGCTTGGTCATAGCACGGTAGTGGGAGCTGCCAGTTTCACATGTTTTAACTCTGTCAGAGCACTTTGAAAAAGTGGTCTGTGGTATCTGGCTCTCGAGATTCGGAGAACGATGCCTCTTCGATTTTTGAGAAAGCAATCATGCTGGGGGTCTGGCTCTCGAGATTCGGAGAGCAGTGTCTCTTCGATTTTTGAGAAAAGTAATCATGTTGGGAGTCTGGCTCTCGAGATTCGGAGGGCGGTGCCTCTTCGATTTTGGAGCAAGCAATCTTGTTGGGAGTGTTGTCTCGAATGTGAGTAAAGGTTGGGCATGTTTGTTAGTCTACCTTGCCACGAAGCACAAAGGTTGACACACAGGGACTTTCCAATTATCCAGCAATGGTACTGTTCCTTTACCCTCTCTTCGATTTTGAGAAAGTAGTCATGTTGGGAGTCTGGCGCTCGAGGTTCGGAGGACGGTGTCCTCTTCGATTTTGGAGCAAGCAATCTTGTTGGGAGTGTTTTCTCGAATGTGAGTAAAGGTTGGGCATGTTTGCTAGTCTACCTTGCCACGAAGCACAGAGGTTGACAAACAGGGACTTTCCAATTATCCAGCAGTGGTATTGTTCCTTTACCCTTGTGGGTAATAATATGGTAGCTAGAACCTTCAAAATTTATGTGTCTAAACTTTGTTAGTGCTGTTTCTTTGCTATTCTTTTACCTTTCTTGGTCAGAGCGATGTAGTGGGAGCTGCAAGCTTCACGTGCTCAACTTTGGCAGAGAACTTTGGCAAAGTTATCTGTGGTACCCATGAGCTATTGTTGCGTGTGGGAAGTGGGTGATTGAACAGTAA